TGCCTAAGTTTTTTTTTAAGTGAAATAATTTTAATGTATGTAATGTAATTTGTCTTATGTCTGGATGCAGAATGCTTAATGACCATAAAAGGTTTTTGAGTGTTTTTAGTGGCATTTTCATATTTTGTTCACTGTATTCCATGTAATTGGTTTCTGTGGACTAGATGTTGATGAAAATGATTTAATTTCTGAATGTTGTTTAAGGTAAAAAGGGAAAAGAAGAGGGTTGAAAGACGAAAGAAAGAGGAAAACAAGAAATAATAATTTTTGTTTTACCTGAAAGGTGATATTTGAAAAGTTCCATCTGCAGGGGCATTGCGAGAGCTGCTGTCTGATTTATTGCCCTCTGAGAACAACATTGGAGTCTCAGCATTGCAAGGGGGTATTTGGTGACAGGATTGTAGCCTATGGTTCTGGCTACAACACAGAGGGCTTTCCAGTGGTGTTTCCCATTTCCTTTTCCAAACTACAAATTTTCTGCTGCATTTCCTGAGTGCATCACAGCCTCTTGTTTTACACCAAGTTACATCGTTACCTGAAAATCTTGTTAAAACTCATTTAGTTTAGCAGCAAGAATTGTGGAAATGAACAGACATGAATCCACATGGGTTTTCCTTTGCAAAATGTTGTGTTGTGTAGTGAAATAAATTTTGGAATCTTCGCAAAGCTGAAAAGGACAGGGAGCTTCCTATGCTGAATAAGGACCAAGCACACACAAATGGGCATATTTACATCATGTGTTCTTCACGGGGGCCTTTGAGAGAGGTTTCACAACAATTTTAACTTCTTCCCTGAATCTTATTTGCTGTAAAGCTTTTATAATGGTGCCTGTTCCTCCTCGATGCTCCACCAGAACTCAGACCTGTGGGATGTCAGTGTGTTTCCTCTGGTGAAGTGATTATAGGCATTTACACTCTGTATTGAATATCTGCTCTTTGGGGCTTTGGTCAACAAGTTAGGATCATTCTTTTACAATGTTTTTCAGTGCCAGGCATGGGAATGAGGTGCTCATATATTATGAACTTAAAATGATATAGTACTTTGTGCCAAGGCTTACTTTGCTAGAACTTGTTGGTTTCTCATGTGAAGCGTTTCAACTCCAGCACATGAAAGCCTCCCAGATATTCCAAACACCCTGAATCTCTGCAGGGATGCTAATGAAACAGTAGTTAAGAGATTAAAGGCCTTTGGAGTGTACAAGCTGGATGAAAACCAAGTCAAGACAGGAACTAAACAGTCCCCTTGTATCCTCATCTAACCTGATTTCTTTTTGCTAGTTGTAAAGGTCTGTGTGATAGTTGGAGTTCATGCATGTTTCAGTTCTGGTAAGCACAAGAAACCACAACAGTAATTACAAATGTTCATTATTTGAGACATTTTTTTTCTCCTCCCCTATATTCAGTTAAGTGTATTTTTAACAATCTAATTATGATTTCTGTGATTCTACATTTTCTGTACTTTAAATACAGTTTCTCCAAGCTGTATACAAACATCTAAAATCTAGGTATGACTGCAGCAAGTTAATACATTTTTCAGTATCTTGTATATGTATCTTCAGACTTGTATATGCATGGACTAGAGTTGTAGCAGTAGTCATATTGCTTAAAACATGAGTTGGCATATTTTCAAACAGGGTATGTTTTTCTATTTGTAAAAGGTCTTCCATCTTAGATTGCAAGCAGTAAGATCAGCTGTATCTGAAGTGGCATACTTAAGGGATACTGTCAATGTTTAGAATAGCTGATATGACTTAGGAAAGGGAACTTAAAAATATAAGCTGTGCTTGGAAGAAATAGAAATTATAGGAGGAATTAGTTAGAATTATTACTATGCCGGCTAAAAAAACAGAATAATTAGATCATGTTGGTTTAATCCTTAAAGTATTTAGGGTTTTAACATGACATTAGTTTTTGGCTTTTTATGTTTGTGTTTTTTTCTTGTCGGTGTAGTAGAGTCAAAGTATAAGTACCAGACTAATTACATGAGATCTATTTTGAATCAAAGATAATAGTAGGGACAGTAGCAGATCTTGATCATTTGGTGGGTGGACTCATGTGAACCATCTGTGTTTTAACCTAAATATTCCCGTCTGGCGTTTGGGAATACAGTGCTGTTGTGAAAACAGTTTCAGGAATTACTCCAAATCATACATAACTTCTTTTATTCTCTCATTGTGTACTTTATGAAATAAAATGTCCAAAGGTGCTTAGTGAGCTTTCAGATGGAAAGTGAAGGCCTGTTATCTCACAGAGAAAGTGATCAAAGTCAGATCAAAGTGATCAATTTGGATCAAAGATCTAATTCACGTACTGTAGAAGTCTAAAAACCTTTTGTAGTTTGTGCAGACTAGAGATCTAGTCATATCACCATAACATTGACCTTGTGTTTGGTTAATGGAGTCACTGTCTGGATTTTGGTAACTATATTTGTAGCTATTTTTCTGTTTCGATACATATAGATTAGTGGTCGATCTGCTGCTATACTACAAGATCTTAACTAGTAATTCTTTGGCAACTTTGCCATTGATCCTGTTCAGGGAACTGTGGACAGAGGTAGTTGTTGTTAAGAGTCTGAGGCCAGCCAGCTCGTGATCCAGGCTCTCCGTCTGAGGAATTGTGGTTGTCTTGACATGTACCCAAAACCTAATTTTTGTCTTTAAGTGCATCGGGGAACTTAAAGCAACAATAGTGGGAACCAAGAGTCGTGAAAAACGGGTAGAAATGACAAGAACAATGACCTTGCTAGTATACAATAAATGATATCAAACCATGGGAAGGTTTGAGAGTTACAGGCAAGTATTCCTCCATATGGAGACTACATTCAGATATAGATACTCGTATAAATCCATTCGGTGGTTTCAACGTAAGCCTCACTGGAAAGATATTCGTGTGCCATAAAACCACAGCATTTTACAGTGTTTTGTCTTTGACAATCCCATAGAAGAATTATGATATTTTCAGTGCTGGGTGTGGGAGGTTGCTTGTTTTCTGAAAATATTAAAGCTTGCATTTTCTGGGAGAGATTTTTTTTTACCCATCTGAGCTTCCCTTGCTTGGGCAGCATCTCAGTCACGTTCTTCAAAAAGAAACCCCAAGCATCGTGTTCTCTCCTCGCCCAAACAGCAGCAGCAGAACTTCTGTTTTCATTTGGTTAAACGCTTGCCAACACTAATAGCTCAAATCTTGACACTGCTTTCTGATAACATGGGTTCTCTTAAGTTGTATAAGGTGCTTTTGATTCATCCTCTCATTATCTGGGCTTCTATTTCCTTAGCCAAATTTAGAGATAAAGACAGAGAAAGGATGCTGCTATTTGTCTGCAAAACTTTCTGATACAAATGAGGAGCTGGAGAACTTGGGGAACTGTATCTCTTTATTTTCCCGTGTATCCTTAAAGGTACGATATCAATTTGCTCTCGCACCTTTTCATTCTAATGCATTTTAGTATTTGCATCTAGTTGAAATTTAAGCAGTTTTCTACAGAAGAGGAGGACCTGCTTGTATGTGAAAATCTTCCTGCCTCCATAAAATTGACTTTGCAAGCTGCGGTTTGCATACACAGGCCTTTCACACACATGCAGGAAGTTTTCTTGACTTTTGCTAACGACAGTAAAGTCAATGAAATTAGAGAATAAATGATTCGTTGTAAATATTTAGTGAACTGTGACTAAGCACCTTTTAATAGAAAGTGTCAGTGTTTTAATTCCAGAGGCTAGACTGTTTATGAATAGTTATATTTTATAAGGTACTTTGTCATGGCTCACGAGATATTTACAGCAAATCTTTTTTTAGTAAGTTTTGTTTTTTTTTTTTCATTAAGAAAACTCTTGAGAATTTCCTGAAGGTACGAAGCAGGCTCATGATTACACAGAATGTCACTGAAAACAGCTTTGCCTTTTGTTTTTATTTCCTTCTATCTTGATGGAATAGGGTTTTGAGACTAGTGTTACCATACCTACCTTTGTAGAGAATGAATTGTGGGAGAGGAAAAATAGAGAAAAAATGTTCATTTAGTTCTGAAGACATATTTATACTCCCTACATTTCTGTAACTGTTCAGACAGATGCCAGAGAAAGTTCCTACCAGTCAGGATATATGTGTCAGTGGGGTTATTTTTATTATAGTTTAAAACAACAACACCAAAAAAACCCCATTGCAACAAAAAATCCCCACAAAACCAAAAACCACCACCCCTTATTAATATTGTTTTTGTAGCTTAATTTTTAAGCATTACCTGCTGCTCCCCATCAAAGTGATGCAGTAACAGTAACCATTAGATGATAATTAAGCTTCTAGGGAAGAAAAGGGAGGGAAAGCCTTGTACATGGAAGTGATTTTCCGTCCGACTTTATGCAATTTTGTGTTTTATTCTGTCAGCCATTGATGAACAAATTTAGTCTCCTTAAATCCTTCTTAAGCTGAGGTTTAGGAAGGCCCTCAGTTGTGAAGTCTTGGAAGGGGATTCACTGAGACCTCTCTGCTGAAATCTTACAGACATCTAAAGCTAGTAAGGGATTTGATGTTTTCTAGGCATCAGGCAAAAGCTCTTGAGAATTCTAAAATATACCCCTCTCATCTGGAGATGTTGAGAGCCTGAACTCGGTTGCATTTTGGAGAGAAGCAAGGGCTCCCTTTAATAAATAAAATCCCCATCTCCAGGGACTGTTTTCCTAAATAAGAGTCACTCGTCGTTAAAAGTAGTTAGCAGAATTTAGAAGTGAATAATTTGTAACTTCTCTAGTATTTAGTTTATTTTTCCGTAAAGGGTAATACAAAGCATACTTGCATGGTTAGGGATTGACTTCTCTCAGCTGTACCTTCACAAGCAGATTGCAGTCAGTTTAGTTTAATGTATAATTAAATAAGACTGAAAATATAAAAAGTATAAAAAGAGACTTTTTGTTGTTCAGCAAATGTTCCCCTTTTTATATATTTATTCCACATAGTATTTTTTCAAGTTGTCTTGATTTGATGAGTCTGTTTTGATTAGTTAAAGGCAAGATGAAGGTAAGTAGATATGGATAAAGGCAGTGGAGGCTAACTGGGAAATTGATTTGAATTCTAGAGGCTTTTCATTTATTTTTTTTTTCAAAAATAAATGTTAAAATAGCACAATTCTAGAAGGTCATAGGCAAGTGTTTTTCAGAAGACTTTTTTCTACTTTTTAGATTGGAGAGTTAACTCTGCAGACTTCTACTGTACCTGGTCATCTCCAGTTGCATTATAAAGCTAAGATTTAAAAAGTGAATAAACCTAAAGCTGCAAAAATTAAGGCCAGCAATTTCACATATATTTTAATCCCAGGTGTAGCTTCTGTGTGTCTTTTTTGTAAGCTTAATCAGGAAAGTGAATGTGACTTTAGGGGCGTCTTTTCTTCCTGCTTTGACTTTGTAGCAAAAAGCTAAAAACTGCAACTTGTTTCTCCCTTAATCTTCAGTGATAATAATGAATGTGTCAGCAGAGTTTTCTGATAAAAAGAAATAAATGAATGATTCAAGTGAATGAAAAAATAGAGGAGTTACGATAGTGGCTCTTGGGTGGGTTCCCCCCCACCTACTAATGAGGAGATTGTCTTCTGGATCTTCTCCCATGTATGGCTATGAAGACCACCTCTTCTCTCAATGACTGCTGAATATCACTTCTGTTGCCATCCCTGGTAACCACACTAATTGCTTACATGGAAAAGGAATATTAGAAAAATATTAAGTGAAGCTAAAAATACATTAAATATGATATAGCATCTGGAAACAGGGAAAGCCAGCACCTTCCACCAGCCAGTTCTCCACGGACCACCAGCAAAGTGCTCCGGGGGCCACTGCAACCATGCAACCACATAACGTGCTTTGGAACATTTATATCAAATATCACCTCCTGCTTTTTACCTTGACCTCAGAAGACTTCCCCAGCAAACGATAAACAATAAACTTACATAGTGTGCCCAAGAGACTTAGGTTCTAAATAAACTCTGTATGATGCCACACATTTTCGAGGAAGCGGAGATTACCGTAGACCACACAAATCTCAGCCACGAGCACCCTTGCTTGTGTGCTGAGTGATGCCAAGCTGGAGCTATAAGAAGCAATGACTGTGTCTGGATAAAGAAGCACAGTCAGGATGTTGTATTTTTTTTTTCTTTTTTTTTTAAAAAAAAAGAGAATACCTCAGCATTTTGTGGCTGCCCCCTCTGTGACACCCGGGGTACCCCAGAGTGCGACTGTTGCTCTCTCTTCTCCGGCTCCGAAACTGAAAGGAAGGAAATAAGAGCTCAATAACTGCAGCACTAAGGGAGACGTTATTTACTCTCCTGTAACAGATCATTCTGATACCAAAAATTACATTTGCTTTTGCCTCTGTAGTGTGTGATTCAGTGAAGCCACAGCTTTTCTTGGAGAATTTGGTCTTTCCCTGAATCCAGCCTTTGCTTTCTTGGCTCCTTGGAGAAGGAGAAAGGGAAAGATGGGATATATACCATTCCCTCAAGCATGGCGATTCCTGACTGTTGTCTATAGAGATTAGTCATTAATTATTTTGCAAGTGTGATTCTTTTTAAAAACTGTTCACCACTGAGCACCTCGGTATTGGTTAGGATGCTGCACATGTACTTAATTTCTTCAAGAATGTTTTGTTGTGTTTTGTTGTGTTTTTTTTTTTCCTGCAGTCGTAGAAATATGCTATAAGTAAATTGAAGTGTTCACTGGAATGACTTTGGGACTCTCTGGTATGCTTTTTTGTTTTCTCTATCTTATCTGTTTGTATAAATAACAGAATTAGGATTTTTACCTGATACCATTTCACGTTTTGTCCTACAGATAAGAAAGCAAAGTACAGTCTCCATGATAAAGATTTTCTTTGTTTAACTCATATGCTGAGCATAATGCTGGGTGGACTGTGTTTAAAAAAAATCCCTTTATAAATGCTTGTATTTGGTTGCTGGTTTTGTCCCTATTTGAGCAGCCTGAAGTTTGTAAATTGAGATTATAATTTAATATTAGGATATTAATTCAACCCAACTATAATTTTATAATAAATTCTCCCCAAATTGCTAATTATTCAAATCCAAGTGCTTGTCAATTAACAGCAGTAGTCATGCATGCTTTACCTGAGTGGGCACAGCTTATGTTTGTTGATATTTATCTTATACTGAAAGGTCTGAAAATATATATATATATTTATTTTTTTTTTAAAAAAAAATTTAAGGCAAATTTGAGTGGATACCATCTTGTCCTTTATATTGACCCCCAATAAACTAATATCAATAAAGTAAAATAATAAACTATGCATTTCTTTCATGTGATGAGGCCCATGAGAGTGATACTTGTCCCACTTCTCTGTCATTTATTCTTGACTTATAGCTTGTACATGTTGCACTAGAAATTTGGATCTTTCTTTTTAGTGTTCTAATTATTATTAATCAGGCAGTGCCTTTTGGTTACTTCTGAATTTGCTTCTTTCACTGGTAAACAAAATCATTTTTGTATTTTTTTAAATTTAATTTTTAAGGTAAGATGTTTAAAGATTCATACCTTCATTCCCAGTTTGCTGTATTTCTTATGTCCAGATATTAATATCTTCCATTTCCTACTTTCCACTTTTCATTTAAAAAGCAAACAATATCTTTTGTGAAATCTAAGAAGGCTAGTTCTTAGTACCTTTTGATAATCTAGGCACTTGGAGTTTTAAATAATTTTAGTACACGAGAGGGTCAGTGTAGCTTTTTGTTTCTGAGTGTGCCCTGTCCTTCAGTCTTTGGAGGGACATGGGGTATAAGAATAGAGGGCAACTATCTATACTGTCATTTGGACACACAGGAAAATAGAAGTTTGACCTATAGATGGTGTATCCAGGAATATATTTTGCCGGGAAAGCCTTTGGGTTTTGGATTTGTGGTTTTGGTTTGGTTTTTATTTGCCTTTTTTTTTTTTTTTTTTTTGGGGGGGGTGTAATTTATTTTTTTAAAAATAATTTATTTTAAAAACATCTATATATTTCTTTAAACAGCATATTATGTCAGTAAGAAAATGAGAAAATAACTTTTGTTTTTAATGAGACATTAATTGTCCAAGTGAGACTAATTGTCTCAGTGTAACTTCTAGAAAGCACATTTTGGACAAAATGAAAGCCTAAAGTGTAATTAGTAGACACGGATGTGGTCATCTTCTAAAGTCCTTGCTTTTGTTTTTGTAGCAAGTAGATCAAGACTAGGGTGACTGTAAAACATCAATATTTTATAAAATTCTTCTTTTCTTCTTCCAAAAATTCTGCCAAGTTGTACTTAAATGAAGTCTTCTGAGGAAAAAAGCTCCATGAGTTCTTTACTGTAAATACATTTTTGTGATTTTAAGAAGAATGGGGTATTTATAATGGATTGAACCAGAGCTTCTCTGCTCTGTGTTATCTTTATAATGTTTGCCATAAAGTGCTTCCAGGCGACATCTTGACTTCTGTAATTTTTTTCTTCCTTTTCGTTGGTGCCTGGAAAAGATTATTGTGGGTTATAACATTTTAAAACATTTAAGTAATCCATTTGAAAGCAGGAAAAAGTGCACACCATTGATATGAAATTGCACTGGCTTTCCAGAAAAGATTTTATCACAGAACTTCCAGTTTCTTACTCTAGGGAGAAGATTGCATAGTTTGATTTCTGAAATAAAATACATTTTAAGGCATTGCATTTTTTCCAGTGAAATTGATGTAACTTGCACCAGAATTTTACTTGCAGAAAAAATAAGAGTATTGTTGTGTGCAGTGAATTCTGAAGTTAAACATAATTAAAACCCAAACAATTCAACACAATTATTCTGTTCTTTATTTGCTGTTCATCATGTCTTTTTGGTGGATGTATTTTATCTGTGCCTAGAGGGGAAGTAATTTCTATTTCTACTTTTCACTCACAGGTACAGTGATAACATGGAGTAACTACTGCAACAGTTCAGAGTGGGTTTGGTTTTTGGTAACTGAGAGGTTGTGGTGTTACCTGTAATTCAGAGCACAGATTTCCAAGCAATGATCTGTGGATCACTAATTCACAGCAGTTTTTAAAATATATATAATAGCTATATATATACATATATATGTGTGTATATATATATATAAATACTGCAGATATTCATTGTTCGGTGTTACAGTCTTTGGGAGAAATGCTGAGGTTTTTAATGCTCTTTTGGTCTCAAGTATTTCCATATATTTGAGATAGGTTGTGATTTTCAACACTTCTTTTTATTTTTCCCTGTTATTACAGTGAGTGCTGTAACATTTACCTAACATGAGTAATGCAAAGTTGAAAAATGAGAATGCAGGCTCTCCATATGCATTGGTGGACTTTTCATATGATTTTGTTTTACTATTAAAATTAAATCTAATTTGCTAATTTACTAATAAAATAAATCTAATTTGCAAAGCCTGATTTGTCAGTAGAGCACTTGTTACCACCCAGCAATGGGAGCTATGAGAGTAACTGGTGGCTTTTTCTGTCACAGACCTACTGTGGACAAGTTGCTTCACTTCTCCAGGCATTGAATCCAGAAGTAAAAAACCTGATGTTATAAAAGTGTTGACATCTGATAAGGAAGTGTGTTATTTGAGAACTGGATGTAATTATCATAATTTAACACCAAAAGATCTCATTCATAAAGTTGGGATTTGAATTTTTAAAACAATGAGAAGTGGTCTTGACATTTTGGAGAATATAAAAAGAATAATATTATTTCTCTAAAAATTAGCATAACACATTCATCTTCATTTATATTTTGTATCTTGTGGATTAGTTTAAATTGTCTTGTGGTTTTAATCTAGATTTAAAATAGCTAGGGATTTCCACATTTGGTTAACACTTACAATGTATATATACAGTGAAATGATGTTTTGACTTCCTGCTCTCCTCATCACTTTTTCGCCCTGTCCTCATGAGAGCACATTGAAAATTCATCTCTCTTGGCTTTGTTAAATTCCATTTGTGTTTGGGTATGTTGTTGAGATGAACTTTATCCTAGAGCAGAAATGACTGATCATAGTCCAGTCTGCATAGTCTAGAAAGACAGTTGTCTCATTTATTTCCTGAAAAACTGAAACCCTTTGTGAATGAGCGAATGGAACATATTATGTTATACAACTGGAATAAATTATATCTTTTTCCTTTGCCAGTCATAAGGATTTGTAAGATTAATTTATACTTAAGACACATAACTGTTAGAGTTTGGTGTATTCTGATTAGTATACAATGGTACTGAAAAGGGTTCTTGCCACAGCTTTGTGTTGGGATAAATTGCTGATTTTTAGCAGTTAGAAAGTGTTTACAATAATATAAGGAAAAATAACCCACCCAACGACCCAAAACAAACACAACAAACAAACCAGGGTGTAGTCTGTTGTTTTCCCTAATAAGCAGGATTTTTAAGAGCACCTGTAGAACATATCTGCCCATCTTCTAGCATTTACTTACTTTACAAAATCACATTCATTCTCAGATCATGAGTATTGTACTTACAACAGTTTACACAGAGTAACCAAGTTACTTCACTGAAACCATATGTAGAAGGATTATTCTGCAGAGCTTTTAACAAAACTTAGAAAATTAGATTTTGATGGAATTTAGACATATTCACCCTGAAAGAGATGTAGCTATAAATAGTTTGTTGGAAGTAGACCTTTATAGCATCTTGGATCAAAACTGACGACATTTTGCATACTGGCAGTTCATAAAGTAATAGACCATAGGAGAGTAAAAATATTTGAGTAAACTGCTTTTAAAATCCTTTTTTCTCAGTTGTGTTTTTCTATACATGAGTTCATTTTTCATGTCTTAACTGTAGTCATAATAATTTAAGTATGGATTATCTTACAACACTTTCTGCTTGAAACGAGAGTTTAATTTACATGTTTATTCTTCCAGTAAAATAATATACAATTTTCTACTTTGACTTTATGTATGATATTGCTCATGAGGAGAAATAAGGGCATTTGCAACTGGCAAAAGTTCTTGAGGAGTGGAAGAAAGCAAATGACATTTCTGTCTCCAAAAAGGACAAGAAGGAAGATCTGGGGAATGGCAGACCAGTCCTCCTCACCTCGATCTCTGGGCAGTTCATCCTAGAAACCATTTCTGATCCTGTTAGGATGATTTGGGGTAGCTGGTGTGAATTTGCAATGGAGAAATGATGTGTGACCAACCTGATAACCTTCTATGATTAAGTAACTGGTGTATAAGGGAAGAGCAGTGAATGTTGTTTACCTTGACTTTAGCAAGGCTTTTGACACTATCTGCTGTAACATCCTCATATACAAGCTGATGAAGTAGATAAATGGATGGACTGTGGGGCTGGCTTCAAATCACTGGCTGAAGAACTGGATTCAAGGTTTGATACTAGCAGCATGAGGTCCATCTGGAGGCTAGATACTGGTGGTCTACCCTAGGGGTTGATGCTGGGGTCCATACTGTATGATGTCTTCATTAATGACCAGATAGGTGTGCTGCCATTCAGAGAGACCTCAACAGGTTGGAGAAATGGCCCAACAGGAACTTCATGAAGTTCCACAAAGGGTGATGCCAAGTCATGCCCCTGGGGACATATAAACCCCGCAACCAGAACAAACTGGAGTCTGACCATCTGGAAAGCAGGCTTGCAGAGTAGGCTGCAGAAAGGGGGCCTGGTGGACACCAAGTTGAACATTTGCCAGCAATATGCTCATGTGGTAGCATCCTCGGCTGTGCTAGGCAAGCTGTTGCCAGCAGGTGAGGGAGGTCATCTTTTCCCTCTTGCTCAGCACTGGTGGGACCTGTCTGGAGTGCTAGGTCCATTGCTGGACTCCCCAGGACAAGAGACATATGGACATACTGGAGCATTCATACTGGAGTGGTCTATTCAAAGGACCACTGAGATGATTAAGGGGCTGGAGGGCTGGAGCATCTCTCATATGTGAAAAGGCTTGAGAGAGCTGGGATATTCAGCCTGGAGAAGAGAAGGCTCAGGGAGATCTTACCAGTCATGGGGGGGAGTAAACAAGACATAGTCATGCTTTTTTCAGTGGTGACCAGAGACAGAGCAAGAGGTAATGAGCACAGAAATGCAGGAAATAGCAGTTAAACGTAAAGAAGAAATAACTTTAGAATGTTTTCAGTAAGCTCAAAATAATTAACTGTGAAGTCTACTCCTGGTTTTAGAATTTTAATAACTAAAAGCACCAGTGAAGCTTATTTCAGACTCCGGATACAGAGTTCCAAAAATAATCTGTCAGTTGCAGGTGATGTAGCATTTTAGAATGTTATCAATCTAATTTTTAAGTGTTTGAAGTCACATAATCAAGATTTCTTTTTTGTGTACTTATTTAACATCACAAGACCCCTGGGTTCTTTGTTAAGCTTGCTTTTCAATATTTCCAGCCATGAATCTTTTGTTTCTTTTGAGAAGGTTACAGAGGCTTTTAGCTCTTGTTTTCAGATATTTTCCTTCTGATTTGCTCTAAATGTTCCTTTTCTAAATTTTATCCCTTTACTTGTCACTATGTATTTTTGAATAATTAAATGGTATTATGTAATGTTTCTCTTCCTGTTTATGCTCATCCAATATCTGCAGACATCATCAAGCCCTAATTTTATACTGAAAATACCCATTTTGTAGCTGACATTTCTGTTTCTTCCTGTGCTTGCCATTCTCCTTCCTATAAACATTTTGGAAAAAGCATTTTCCTTAAACTGGGTTCCTTTTTTGTAAAGATTCAATTTTTTCCTAGTCATATTGCTACAGTTAATACTATAGTATGTTAACAAGTAAGTACAACATCTCCACTTGCTGAATAAGTCAATAGTAATTAATTTTTACAACTTCCTTTATCTTCTCTTGACTTCATAGAAGTAGGAGAGTGGGGGGATCTCTGTTGTTCACATCATCAGGGTAGTAAGATACATTCCTCAGTTATTAGACAAGAAAATGAGACTAATTGTCTAGCAAAGTAAAGGTCTCAGGAAAATGTGTGGTGTCCCTTCAGGGTTTAGAGAAGGTATCAATACCTTAGAGATAGTCTACTTCCAACCCCTGATGCCTCCCACTAGATCAAGTTGCTCAGAGCCCCATCCAGCCTGGGCTTGAACACTCCCAAGGATGGGGCTTCCACAACCTTCCTGGGCAACCTGGGCCAGTGTCTCACCACCCTCACACTAAAGAATTTCTTCCTAAAGTTTAACCTAAATCTCCCCTCTTCCAGTTTTAATCTACTACCTCTTGTCCTCTCACTGCAAGCCCTTATCAAAAGTCCCTCCCCAGCTTTCCTGTAACCCCTTCAGGTACTGGAAGGCCACTATAAGGTCTCCCTGGAACCTTCTCTTCTCCAGGCTGAGCAACCTAGGTGCAAGAAGGATAGAGCCAGACTCTTTTCAGTAGTTACCAGTGTCAGGATGAGGGGCAACAGGGGCAAAAAAACGGAACATAGAAAGTTCCATTTAAATACGAGGAAAAACTGGCTTAAGGGGAGAGGGTGACAGAGCACTGGAACTGGCTGCACAGGGGGTCTGGATCCTGTCGGTATATCTTTGTGTGTATTTCTCCATGTGCAAATACTTGTCTTAAACACACCTAGTCTGAGTCTGTGAGACTCAGAGTTGGAATACGTAGAGAGACATATCTTAGGGAGCTTAGTACTGTAAAATTCCAGAGTAGTTGATAGAACAAGTCCATGTAGTTTGTCATAGACAGGAGGAAGTATCCAGATTTGGGTACTGGCGAGTGCTGGCACATCTCAGTTTACATTTAATGTACGTACATCAACACATACTTTATGGTCTCTAATATCCTCTGGAGTGAATTGCTGGAAATTGGTAATTGTGAGCCCTGTTGCATTCTCCATTAATTACGGACATAAGATGTACCATATAGATTAGAGAGGTTGCATTCTAAAGTGATCAGAGTAACCTAGAGTAGCTCAACACAACTGACAGTAGAGGAGCTCATTATCTGTCCTTGCAACTCTGAAGTTACCACAAGGAACAGGGCTATCCTGAAGTAAATTGTCCCCTTAAAATATCCAGTCTACTTTTTTAGCTGTCCTTTCTGTAAGGACATAAAAAAAAAATCTGTATGCTTTGTCTTTATGTAATTTGGCACTTCAATTTGTTACTACTTTCCTGTAATGGGCTTAGCGAAACTTCTTTGTAAGTTTACACCACCCTTGTATTAGGGAGAAGCTGAATTTGCCAATGTTAGTGTAGACTTTTCTTGATTATAGGCCATATGGACTGCACAAACTGTCATATCACTTGAATCAGCATTTCTGGTTTCCTCTTCACATTTAGGACAATTCCCCTCAGTGCAGAGAGCAGATTCAGTCAGGTCAGTGCTAAATGCTTCCAAGTTATAAGCCATGAAGAAATGAACTCTCTCATTTGATCTCCTTCTCATGATAGACCAGATGGCTGGTTGGTGTGATTCTGCCACCTGTGTCTCAGTACCTACAGTGCATTTTGCCTTGGCCTTACCTAGAGTGGTGGCTGATCTGCTCAGTGGGGCTGTAGCCTGCACACAGCAGTTGGAGTTAACAGGCCCTGGAGCTGTCAAGGTGTGAGGTGCAGGCAGGTTATTTACAAGTTACTGATGTACCAAACAGCACAAGACAATCTATCTGAAACTCCAGTAACTACTTCTTGCAAATGGTAGTATTCTCTTCCAAGTTTGACCACTGAAGGAAGACCTTGGCAGAGAAATTGGAAAATAACCCTCATTTTTGTAATGTCTGTTGCAATATTCATTCCCATGCTCATCCAAAAGAAACCTGTAGTTTCCTAATTTTCTGTCATCTAAGGGACCATATATCAATATTTTTGTCTTCAGAATCAGCCTTTTATGGCACCAAGCTGCAATGTATTGTATTATAATCGTCCAATTTTTGTTGTTACTAATTTTTAGTGATTTGCAGTGCTTGTCCTTCTGGTATTTGAATTTCTGTAAGTTTTCTGGATGTTCTTGTGCTCAGTACTGTAAAACTTACTTTCTTTATCACCCCCTTGCTGTAGGTCTCAAATAATTCATTTATTTAGGAGTTCACTTGCTTGTGGTTTCCACTTCTAGTATGAAGGCATCTCCAAGAATGAATATGCTGCATATTCCAAATGCATTCTGGCCAAACAGCTGACAGAAATGTCCTGTATATTCTTACAATACTGAGAGGACGTGAGCCCAGATATTATCCAGTCCAAATATATCTAGTAGTTGATTTGTCCTCTGTGATTTTATGGGATCCTTGCCTGGTTTTAGATTTATAACATTGAATTAGCTGGTTCTGTATGTGGTGAGCACTTACACCTTCATCATAGTCTGCTCTGTTGGTTTGGTGAAAATGCAGGGTGGGAATTACCTTGCTGGTACAGGCACCCAGGTTCAGCAAGTAGTTGTCTATATGTGAGTGAAGTCTAGTCTCCAGATTCCCATTATGTGTTGTCTAAACACCTCCTAAGCTCTTTTGATTTTGTTTGGATCTTGTCGGTATGTTTTTGTGTGTATTTCTCCATGTGCAAATACTTGTCTTAAACACACCTAGTCTGAGTCTGGATACTTCAACATGTGTCCTAAGTTAGGAATCACTGAATCCAGTAGCCTCAAGCTCAGTCATTCAGTGCTGGAGAGCCTCAACCCTCACGTGCAGAGACATACATGCAAAGGGCCTCTTCAGCAAGCCTCAGGCCTCACAGCCTCTCTAACAGTTGTTATGGACCTCCTGGTCCCTCCAGTGGCCAGCTCACAGGTTGTCCATTATCCAGCCCAGATGTATGGCCACCTTGATAAGTGAATCCCAAACCTCTTCTCCTACTCATGGGCTGCAGTCCCACATACACAACGTGCACCCACTCAGGTCTCTTCCATTGTTGGCACTGCAGGCACATGGACCCCTGTGACCCACAGTCCCACTCCAGTTGCAAGCAAATAAATACCTCTGTGCTGAGGACAGAATTATCAGCTTGCTCTATGTGAGTTCTTCAAGTGCATTTTAAAAACTTTGGAGGTCCCATCTTTGCTGCTGCAAGTCCTTCTTGTAGAAAAGAAAAGGGAAATTGTTAGGGATTTCTAGAAAATAAATAATTTTTTAAAATGCATATTTCCCACTGGTCTACCTCACTGCTTTTATACTTTTCCTAGGCTAGATTCATCAAATTTATTCAAGGTGATAAATTCCACATGAGTTGGGGCGGCTTTGTTATGGTATGAACTCAATAGAAGTCCCAGTAAGGAAAACTATTTATTCTAGCTCTGTGCACTCCCAGCCACCCTGGTTATACTTCCTTTCTGGCCAGGACAACTTTTCAAGGCTGTGGAGGATGGGAGATTGCAGCAGCTTTCTGTCTCCACAGTCTACTCTCCTGGTGGTCTGGCCACCTGGAAAGCTAGGCATGAGGGGGCGTTGAAGGAAGCCAATGCTGTGCCTGGCCCAATACCTTTCACAGGCATTTAAAACCCCAAGAAATGTAGCAAAGAAAGTACTTTATCTATTTCTGTAACTGCCCAAGATTTTGAGGTTCTTAGAAATGTAGGTCTCTGCATCATGAGTAGCAGTTGTACCTTAGCATGTGGCAAGTATGTCTCTGTGTTTACACGTGGAACTTCATGTAGAAAGTTAGTGGTGAGGACATTTACCCCTTTTGATGACCCTGGAAACATCATTACAGGAATATAAATATGTTAGAAAAATAAACAATAAAAGACCTACAGCAATCTTTTCTGTCTCCATGCTACTATTTTAATCCTCCTGTGAAAATCTGGGTTAAGTTAATCACCCCCTTGTAAAAATGTTTGCTTAAAACAGACAAACTTTTGTAATTGGATCTTCTAAGAAGGTTTAATTATTGTAGAACATGTCTAATGGGTAGATGCTTCTATTATCAGGACAGTCTTCCAAATCGTTTTACTGTTTTGATGCACTGCTAATGTTCCATTTTGATGTATTTCCTCTTCAATATTTACCTGTGGGGAAACTGCTCTTTTCTGTTTTCAACAGGATTTTTATATGTTTCATAGGAAGACTTATTTATACTGCTAGGGAATGGAAGTTTCTTTAAAAGACTCTCTAATGAACCATTAAAAGCAAAGTACACGTGAAATGAAACTGGTAGGTTATATTAAAACGTCAGGTTCAGTTTCAGTTCCCAGAAGCAAGGGCACCAAATGTTGGTTTCCTTTTGCTTTTTTTAGGGTTTTCCTTTGGTTTTTAACCTACCTCATATTCAGCAAGTTGGCAAAAATCTGAGCCCCTTGACTCTTTGCTTAGTGTTTATTCATCTATGGAGAAACACAGTTGCAAAAGTCAAGAAGAAAATGGAAGATTTTACTGCTTTCACTGCTTGTGCATTTGTAATTATTACTTCTGTTAATAGAAGGGACTAAAGCAAATTATTGTTTGATATCTTAAAGAACATTAACCTATAAGCATGTTAGAATCTAGAGCCGATGTCAAGAAACATCAAATGCTATATGATACAATTAACTAGTATTGGTGCTTTTCAGTTTTTTTTCCTGTCTGAAAAAATCCCTTATCCATTGCAAAGAAAAAGGAAGCAGTTGTGGGTAGGTGTGGTGGTTTTTACTTTTTGCTGAAACCACTGTGCCAGTATCTAGTTTTCTGTGTGTGGGAAAGAAGTTGGCAGAAGTTACGTGGGAAAACAGTGAAGGCAAAGTGAGGTAGAAATAGCTTTTGAGGGGAGAAAGAGTATGAGGGAGGGAGGAAGAAAGTAGGTGCATCTGGAACTTGATTTTCTGTGTAATCAAATGGAGCAGCTCATTTTGCATCTGTCTTCTTCACGTTTCGGCATCAACTCCGATGTATCCTTTTGCATCAGAATGAAGCAAAAAGATCTGATGTGTCTCCTCTTAGATCAATCAATGTGCTGCATTGTGCTTGTGTCTCCTCTGCTTCTCTTGCCATTTAGGGACCTGATAGTTACTTGTGACAGAAGCTTCTAAACACGGACAGGGAGGGCGTCTCAACTGAAGGCAGCCTCCTGCCTCGAAAACTGAGTTTTGTTCTTGACCTTTGTTGTCTTCAGAAAAATAAAACCAATAACCTTTCATTTGTATATGTGGAATGCTTAGTAATAAATCTGTACAGAATATTTTTTATGTTCAAGATGAAAAAGCTGGCAACCAGGCCACAAATGTCTTTCACATTTGTTTTATTTTGCATTTTAAGTCTTAGAAAGGAAGGTTAGTTTTAAGTATTAAAGGACAAATAAGTAGGAATGAACAACATATTGTGGCTGAAATAACTGAATTTTCTTTGGTTTTATATACCTTGTGTCATCAGGGAAAAAAAAAAAGCAACGGTTTGAATCTGTGATGTCTTTAATATTATTTTACATTCCAGTGTGATATGGTAAGAAATATTTTTATTTTTAGATGTATATCCTATATTATATCTAGGTATTTGCTTTTTTGTTCTTTTAATCAGATTTGGTTTATGTTCCTTGCACCACAGAATGATCCGTTTCTGCATGTGCAGGTGTATTAAGCTTGGTGTTATTATTCACATTTTTTAATTTTTATTTTTCTGGAGACAACCTACTTTGTTTCTCTTTAAGTCATTTTCATATCCTTGCAATAAAACTCTTTCTTTCAGGTTTTCATTAGGAGATGCTCGCAGGCCACTCCATGAAACTGCAGTATTGGTAGAAGACATTGTCCACACTCAGCTGATAAATTTGGTAAGAACGTAACTGATGAAATAGTATTCACTCTAAAACTCCTTGGGACAACATGACATTTTTATGATCAAATGACTAATAACAGATTGTTCAGTTTTAGAAACAAAACACAGAAACTGAGGGTGATGTTGCTGTTAGGCTTGCAGATAGAGCGTGCCTTTTGCTTGTGTTTATATATTGTCTTTGTGTGATGGCTGTAACCCCACCTCACCTGGGGCATAAAGCTGATATATTTTTTGTTAAAAACTTGAAGTTCTTAAAAGAATGGCTAGTCATCTGAAGACTTCATTGCCAGTTGGATTTTTGTGTTCTAATATTTGTGTTAATAGTTACCTTTATATTCTAATATTCTTACTCTTTAATGTTTTTATTTCCATGAAAAAATATGGAGAAATATTGAATAGTTGCCAATTGAAGTGTTGTATAAATGAGGCTGTTTCGAATCTCGTCTCTTAGAAACAGCTCTGAATTTGAATCTCTCCATAGTTTTAATTGAACTTCAGTAGCAACTCTAAAACAACAACCCTATTTTACACCATGACACGAATCTGCTATCTGACCTTTTTTACAGGAAGGTAAACTTTCAGATGTCACCTGTAGCTTGGGAAGCATAGCAAAGGGTTTTTTTCTTATTATAGTGATGCTTCATATGAAATTACCATCATGTATTGATATGGACATTATATGGAACTAATGTATAGAAAAAGGACAAATGCATATTATAACTAATAGTTACATATGATGAGCCTCTGGATCAGCTAGAATTTTGAGCTGCAAGTTCCTAGATCTTTTCTCTATAAAGAGCTCTTTCAGCAACCAGAAGGAGTTTTAAGTTTCAAGGTCCTGTTACATTATCTAGAACTAAAAACTTTGTAAACTGAGAAAATTCCAAATGGGGCCGACCACATGTTACGTACTTGTGTATATATAAAAATATATATTTTATCTTTATCTATGTATAAGTTGTTATCTTATATATTCAAACATTTTAATAAAAATGTAATTTAAATAAACTTCCCAGCCCAGTGTTTGCCTGCAGACAGGTGCTTTCCTTCAGCTTTGCACTTAATTCAGCGACTGTTCAGTGGCTTCCTGTATTGCAGCAAATGCTATGGGATCCCTTCCAGCTCTGGGTAATTTCTTTCTGCTCTTACCTCTAAAACCTGGTGGTGTATCCCTGTCTCTGCAGTGTCTTCATGTCTTTGTGCTGTGGCTTCTTTGCTTCTTATGCTCCTCTTCACCTGTACCAAATGTGCCTGCTGGCTCCTGGGGAGGCAGCAACTTCTATCCCTCCTCCAAAGGTTAAACATGCTGCTCTGGGCATGTAATTCTTGTTCTAGCTCTAACTACTACAAAATAACATTTTCTTTTTGTAATGACCCCCTTAATTTATGCAGACTCCATGGTGCAGCTTCACTCTTCCTCTAGCAATAACGCTGGGAAAAGTCTTTGCTTTTACATCCCACCAAGGCTTAGCAGAGCTGAGCTTGATGTCAAACCTGGTTTTTGTGCAACCTGGTCTTTGCACTTCAGTCAAAGCGGGGCACTTACTTGCGGAATGACCGTGACCCCAGGTTAACCCTGCGTGGGGTGTCAGAGCGTGTATGATTTCCTGACGGAAGAATGGGAACGGAGTGGCAGATAAACAGCTTTTCTAACCTTTCCCCTCTGAGCCCAAGACAGCACTTTATTTCTGAGGAAGTGAAAGTATCTTTAATAGCTCATTGCTTTGACCTCTGACATTCACATGCCGGAACTCTTAAATCAGGAGCTTTTTACATGCTCTGGACTTCTGCAAGAGATTTTTGCACATTTGTCATCCTGCATAACTGCACATCCTTATGGAGCTGTTACTAGGTAGTTATATTCAATTTTCACTTTAGATGTAGGTGTTCATGTGGATATAAGTATATCCACTACTAGAAAAAAAGCTGGTTTTGTAATTGAAGCTCACTGCAGATGTAAATTTATTGCATTCTGCCTGGATTTTGTCATATTACTTGTCCATGTTAATGGACTACACAGTTCTCATTATGTAATTTAATGGTTTCTTCTCAAAATTCATGTCCATTTTGCCATCCATAATGCTGGTTTAAGGCTAAAAGTAGAAATTACTTTTATGCCAGCAATAAAGCATTGCATACATCTTTCATAATAAAAAATTGGAAGAGGAGCTTGTTGATTAAATCCCGGTTTAAGCTTCTGAATTAAAAAAAAAATAAGTTGCCAGCATGATTACCTTTGATTTCTTGATTTTTGATATCTCACAGGTTTATAGTTCCAGCTTCCTATTTTCAAAGTTGATCTGAACCCTATTAAATCAGGGTCTGGTTTGGACAGATTTACGCAGTCACTGCTTCAAACTACTACGTACTTCATGAGGTCTGGCTGCTATAGCAGATGACTGCACTAACACATCAAATTACTGAAAAGCAGACTTTTCAATGTCTGCATCACATTTTATTACCTGTCCTCTTTGTGTATTTTGAACAGTATGTATGCTGCTTTACATTAAATGAAATTCTGCTAAAAGCATATACTGATGTGTAGAAGGAAATGAGAATCTCCAAAGGATGATTCACATCATCCTAAAATTAGTTTCCAAGTTAGATGAGATGAATCTCTTGAGGAATTTATTTCCTCAACTGAATAATAAAGAGATCCTGTGACAGCTGGTTAGGGTTTGAATATGTAGGACATAGGCATAAAAACTGAAGAGATAAATTCCATCCAATTTATGTCAGACTGTTAAGCAGATTGATTTTTTTTTTTCCCCTTGTATTGTAATTATCATAATTATCACAAATGTTTTGTTATTTGCATATCAAGCAATATGAAAAAAAACCAAAAAACCACAAAAATACCCCACCCACCCTAGAATGAGAAAGGTCTGTGCATTTTTTGTTCAAGCATAATGTATTTGAAGAGCCTGATGAGTTTAAATTTTAATTTAAAATTAAATGTTGACTGATATTTGTCTAGTAACTGATATGTATGTATTTATAGTTGCCTTAATATTCAACAGGGACCACAAAACTATATTAATCAGAAGGGGACAAGCCTTAAAATTACTTATCATTGGAAGTGGAACAAGATGTCTTGTAGTTCTTTCTTTCATGATATCCAATACAATTAGCATGTGCAGCAAGAAGAGTTTATATTTTTTTTTATCTTTATGAATATATATTCAAACCCTTAGAAAGAGAACTCAAAGATTCTGCTTTAGGACAACTCAATTTTATTCAGCATCTTGTCAAGAAAAAGAGGCTAGAGAAATTGAATAGGGATTTTTCTTGTTAATTAAGCTACCATTGAGAGGTCTGGTATCAAAACATGATGTGCTACTTAAATCAAAAAGGCTGTTAAGGAGTTACCTTCCTTGTACCGGGAATGTATCAACTGGACATTTATTATCAGAATGAACTACCAGCCGTTTACTCTCTAGGCATATTGAGTATGGTAGTAGTAGTACTGACACCTGTTTTCACAGTATTTGATTATTCCATTCAGCACTAGGTCTGAACTTCAGTCCTTTATATTTTGTTTCTGAGATATCAAATGGCTTTTGGGAAGAGATTTAATTTGCTTGTACTAAGTGAAAGACATTTTAGCAGTAGCACAGAATTCAACAAGAAAATATGAAAAATTTCACATCTGCACACCAAAAATATAGATGTGCTTAGAAACAGCAGAGCCCAAAAGCCCTGCCTATGGATAAGTAAATTTACCTGGTCCACAAAAGACTGGCTCCCCAGAGAAAAAGGCCACAGCACAACACCACAGCCTTGGACTGCATCCTTTATCTGTTTTCTCCACTGGAATTATTTGTGAACTTTATGAGTCATTGTGGGGGCTGTCATGAATGAAATAATTCCTGTTAATAGATTTGGGGTTTACTTCCTGTAAGCTAAGGTATGTCTTCTAGAAGATGGGTTCTGATCTCTTCTATTGATTCCAAATGATCGAAGTCAAACCCACCCGGCTGACTTTTTTAGAATGCAGTAGTGCCAATTTAAAAAGAACTTGAATTGCCCCAAATCATGTTGTACATTATATCTGTTGAGATTTTTATTATTTTTTTTTTATAACTTACTTTTATTTTCCTGTGGAAGAATTTAATTTCATACAGCTTGTGATGCTACCTAATAATTAGTAACATTCAACTCTTGCTTCCTTTGTATGAGCATGATTTGAGTCTCATGTCACATATACGAACACCTTTTGTATACACAAGTTTATTACTATTTGAAATTAATTCTTACACAGATAATATAGTTACTTCAGAATTGGTCCTTTGGTATCAACCAAAACACAGAACACAGGTTATCAGGTGAATAATCTATACTGGAATATGTAGATTATTTTAAATTGTGGCAGTAATTCATAGATAGAATACCTACAGGGAGATACAGATATTCAGCAGCATGACAAGTCCTGAGTAAGTCCACAAGAAATCCATCCTGTAACCTGCTCTTAATAGTAGGGAATTAAAGAAAGATTAAGTAGTTATTTGCCACAACTAGGAGAAGGAATGGTGAAAATACAGAGACAAACATTAGGATAGGTTTACTGATACAAAATGCTAAATGCTTAATCATGGTCAGCATTAAATTTATGTTTTCAAAGGGCTGTACATTTTCTGGCTGAACATGACGTGCTTTTTGCGCTACCCAGCTTTGTATCTGCAGCTGTTAACCACCTTCACTTGCCCACCCAGAGGAAAAGACTATGGCAATGGGAAAGGCAAGTAGGAAAAACGAGGATTTTAACAGAAACAAGGATGGTGCTTTCTTCATTCTGTACAGCCTGCTTCCACAGGTTTTTTTAAAACCCAATCACACTTGTTATGCTTTCACAAACTGGACTAGTCATTTTAATGTATGTAACCTCTGGACTGTTCTGCAACTGTACAGTTCCAGCTTTATTTACTGCATTTCTGTACTCATAGACTTGTAAAATTTATATACATAATTGTAGAATTTCTGACATTCCTTTTTAAA